TATTCATTCTCCGACTTAGTTGGCTAGATCGTTTAACGCGAGAAAGCCAATTGGGAAAATGCCAAGAAGAGTTTTGCGTTAGCTTATATTAGTGCTTATCCTAGTCCATACTTAAGATAAATTCAAAGATTTATCATGCTTATCTGTTCACCGATCGCACTTACAAAAATAGTTGGTGTATCTTAGATGAAGTGTCAAACGTTGGCCCAGTGTTATCATCGATTAAGCATTTTCCATTCCGAATTACCCACATGTTGCATCATTCCACAATTGATTATCCTGTGATGATTCTCTACCAACACTTGTGCAGCTTCGGATTCAGAACTTATCCTCCACCTATGCCATGCCGAAAATCACACGAACGATCGGGTTCATTTATCGATCGATCGGATAGTTCATCCACAACAAGGGACCTGGTGCTTGCCTCTTTTCCGTAGTATATGATATCAGTCGTCTTGTTGCGTCATCACAACATGACTGAGGTCACATTTCCACCCTGTACTGTGCAAGTTACTGTCCACATAGCGACATGACGTCTTAAATTGATATTCGGACATCTTAAATTGAAAAAGGTATAGAATATGTTTATTTGGTGATCTCGACGATACAGATGTATTGTCATTTGTTTGAAGTTTTTATCATGCTTAAATGTTTTCTGATCTACCGTTCTATTGGCCCTTCAAGTTTTGAATTTTCACGAAAGATTTGTTTTCCAAAAATTTGATATTCGTTCTGTTCCCATTATCTGTCACCAAAGTCAAAACTCAGCGGTAGGCTTCTCATTTCAAAAATACGCATGAACAAGTTGTATCAACTGTCTTTTCAAGTCTGAAATATTTGCTTCAAATAGAGCAATTCACACGTGAACATCCTGTAATTTATTTTCTTTGAGTTGAGTTTTCGTTTAATTCTATATTGTTTTCTCTGATTGCCTCCCGTATATCATATGGAAAATTTGATTAAACTTACTGTTATTTACCGACCGACAACGATGTTTTACATTAACACTGCGAACGTAATGTCACTTAAATTCTCGTAAGATTTTATAACAAGATAAACAACTACGTCAGCCAGCTACCTGGGTGAGGTTCTCATTTTGATGCATTCCCTCGCTTCGGGAAGCTCGAATTTCCGGATGCCAAATTTGATGTAGTTTTCTTTCTCTCTAAGTCTCACACCTTGGGTGTTGCATAATGCTCGACTGGTTTTTTGTGTTTTGCTTATTAGTGAAATCGTGTCTCACTAACAACAGCGGACAACGGGTCGGTGTTTGTTGCTTCTCATCATTCCGTCTTAGCTAACAATAGCACAACTGTCTATCCGTTTCGTATTTGGATGACTAAAGAGATTGTGTTTGTTAAACACCGAGAATGAGTTTGCTTGTGATTTTCACGTTCGTTTTAAATGTTACGTTTCTTTTGTTCTTTCATGCGATCAATTGATTTATCATGGTTATCAACGCTGATAGATGGGCGCTAATTTATTTTCATTTAGATTCAAATCGTTTGCCGTGGAATTCCAAGGCATTTGTGATTTGTTCAGCACGTGGGATCGATCAACTCAAACGCAGCGACTTATCACCGGTTTCGATGATTCGAATGATCAGGGCTTTGGCTCCCCAAACCCTTTACAAACGGGCGCGTTGCGACGACCGAAGCCGGGAATACAAGTGAAATCGAAAAAGTCCGTGGTGAGATCAGACACATCACGCGTAGATGCACCACATATGGATTCATTGTTGGAAACATCGAACCCTCTTCCACCAATTTATTGTGATCACCTGCCAAGCCTAACCGGAACTGACAGCATTGTTTCAGAACAGATATCAGCCAAACCGACCGTATCCGAACGTACATCAACTGTGTCCAAACAAACCAGCCGAGGACTCACAGGACTTGGCATACCACATCTGATTGTTGATGCACAACTGGGTGCAACACCTGATGTCATTCACGGTAAGAATTTCGGTCATGAAAGATAATACTGACGTTTTTAACCAATGTTGTTTACTGAACACACTTTCAGTGGGAAATAGCCATCAGAGTCAGTAGTTGGTTTGAGTTGTTCACAGGCTGGTTATGATGTAGCGGAAAGCTTGGTAGGTTAATATCCATTTACTGAATGATCACTTCTTCGATATAGTTGAGTTCTCTCCCTGCCGCAATTTTCACTGGGGCACAAACCACCAGGTAAAAGCTACGACCACTTAGGATTTTGAAACCTAATAACTACAGTATGAATCACCAATGATTACAGAAAATCAAAATACTGCGAGAGAAAGCGTATGCTTTACTTGATATGTAGATTGAAGAATTCCATATGGTGTATTTGGTAGCAATTAACATAGCGCTAAACCAAAGAATGCTTCGCGTCCACTCTTCATTTCGTGTTTAAAACTTTATTGTCATGGGTATGGCTGGAGATAAGGTAATCACAGGGTACCAATATATTTAATTGACGGAGTCGTAAAAAAGTAGGAGGTAAAATTTACATTAGTGAGAGAAATATGCCAAATGATTAATCAGTTTCTGTCAATCATCGGCAGCTGCGATTAAATAGCTTTGGGGTCCTGAGTTTGGACAGCGCCAATACCGCCCAGCTTCTATATATATATATATATATATATATATATATATATATATATATATATAATGATAATGATTGAATGCACAAGCGCCACTGTTTGCGAGCACCGTGCACTGGTTGTGAAACGAAACGTCTCATATTAGTTCCGATTTCCCCAATATCCCATCCGATATGGAGTTGTCGCTGCGGAGGCCATACGAAGAAGTTATAGTACTGTTTGGGAACGATATTTCTCCCAAGTATTTTGCTCCAAGAAAATTAATTCTTTATTGTGGAGTGCTTAAATTGCATTGTAGATGATTGGTGATCTAATTTTTGCGCAATCGGTAATTGTTTTCATATCCTACGTTTGGGTTTTTCTACACTTGTTGTTTTCATTCTACTATTGCAAACTTTAGATGTCAAACGAGAAGTTGTTGAAACCCTATCGTCCGTCCCGGTCCTGCGGCCTTTTGAGCTTTCTCATGAGACAGAGTCATGGCTGCCAACGTATCGGGATGAAGATAACAAGGAATCTCCAGCATTTTCTCTCATCGCACCCCACCTACCAAACGCAGAAGAAGTGTTAGAACATTTGGGCATTGGATCCAGTGGTCCTCCAATCCCGACCCCGGTCGATTTCTCTGTCATCCAATTTCCTCCGGCCCGTTTGCCACCCAGGTCTATTGCATGTTACGGTCGGTCGAGCGAAAATAAGTCGCTCGTGGATAAAGGAGAGATGGACAGGGTCAGAAGTCACAGATCAACCGTCACATTAAACGATGAAATAGATCCGGCGCTCAAAAATCTTCAATATTTTCAATTTTTGTATTCTGGCCAGGGTGATCCTAAAACAACAGAAGCCACCACAACTGAAAGTTTGAACACATTAAATGATGACAAGGTATGTTATGGGCCATTTGATTAGTCTATTCTTTCAGTGTTTTCAACGAAAAACTTATTGGTTATTTCATAAAGTTATTAGTAAAATGTTGCAGAAAACGTTATCAAGTGTTCATATGAGCTCTACCAAAACCCTATCCAGTTAGAATGAGCGGATTTCTCCATAAACAAACAAAGTACCTTTTTAGTGGGGTTAGCGGGCGCGAATGAGGGTTTGGGTAGTTTGGAGTCTGACTATCCGTCCTTGGTGTGAGCGTCAAACGAGAATGAAGCGACCCAAGGATGATTGCTCTCGGTCAGTCGGGTGAGAAAATGAGTCTCGTCAAGATAAAACGACAAATCGGTCACCAGATTCAGGCTAGGATTTTGACATAACCCGGTAAATGAACGGGTTTAACCTACGTCCAGTATGTAAATCATATTGAGGTCGAGGATCCCTCAGTGTTCACCGCTTCTTTTCAACTAAAAGTTACTATAGGGCGCACGGATAGAATTTTCTATGGTGCTTCTCCTTGAGGGCCTTGAAACATTTGCATTCTTTTTTCTTTTCACCGGTTTTCTGGAAAACTACTTTTTCTACTCAATCTGACAACGACATTTCACTCCGAGCACACCGGTATGAGCATTCGGTTACAAAGTCTGTGGCTTAAAGTGTTGTCAAGTTTCACCTGAGTTTTTAAAAGTTTGAATACTACTTGGCATTGTCCGGCCTAACAACTTGGTCTACCAATTTGAATAACCTACTAATTTTATTTGGGATTTAAATCTTAAATGCATCCAGATAACTCAAGTGTAGCCGCAACATTGTTCAGTGCGATCTGAGAAAAATCGCATCATTTTGCTGGGAAATTGCTGGGTCCTTGCAGAACATATCGCTTCAGTGAGCGAATAAACCATTATTCAGTTTTTACAATGATTAACCATGCACTTTCGTGCGCCGGTTTTGGTTGCCGTCTTTTGGCCGCCCATTTAACCTTGCACGTCACCTATTACGATGATTATTTATCGAAAAGACGCCTCAAATAACATGAAATAGCTGTCGTTTACCCCCTTGTTGTTGTACTGTTCTTAACCGGTAATAATACTATATATCAGGCCCGCGTATGCTGAGATTGTTCATGACCAAAGTAAACAAATCCAAATTTCAAAAGGAAAGACCATATCCCAAATTTATTTTCCCGAGTGACATGTGATTCAGCCCACATTAAGCGTTGTTCCATTTGTAACCACGTTAGAGCCATGCATCTTCTCGTCTTGTGGTTGATCCAGTGCTCCGTTTTCAGTATTCGTCGTATATTTCTGACTAGAAAATTCACCTCAAGTTTCGTTTGCATCATAAATGCATGACTCACACAGTCCGATGCCATATGCGCCAGCTTACGCCTGTCTCTGGCCCCAAGCTTTTCATTGAATTCAACCCGTTTCTTCATTGGTTCCGTTGTTTTCGACTCAGGTACTGAGCTATGATGGATCTATAGATCAGTTGCATTGTTTATCTCACATATCGCCCTAAATCAATTATTGATTTCTCGATACCGGCACAGCACGACCTACAATGCTTCCGCTAACTCACTTGGTGTCTCTGCGACCACTCCCAGGTAGCTGCTAGTGGCTTGATAACATGATAAGGAACGAGTTGTAAATGAATTAAGTCAATCTTTAATTAAATGAATCAAACTTTAGAGACATTTACTTTTTTACACAGCACTCTATTGAATTTGTTTATACTTCTTTATTTTCTCCGGTGTGACGACCAGTGTACAATTTTTAACTGAAATGCAAAAATATCTCAGCTTGCAAAAGTTATACAAATACAGATACGAATACAAATACTACTGTCATCATGGATTCACATGATTCTGTCACATCATTTTATACGACAGAGATTCCCGGAATTGATCAGCTGCGATGTAGATGTTCCGGCGATGAATCGTCAACACACTTAGTACCATATCCTTGTTATACAAGTTGTCCAAATATCATTTCAAGTTGGCTATGTATCCTTTCATGTTTTATGAATATCAATTCAAGCTGTCTCTTTACCCTTCTCTGTACTTCCAGTTTTGAGTATGTTTAAGGCCTCCCAGGGATGTCTGTATGACCGCCATGCAGCATAGACATGTCAATCTTTCATTGTAGTGTGGGGGGTGACGATTGTGAGACATGCCTCGGTGATACACCAATTCTCATGACCTTGATTGCCTGCTTTGCTAGTACGTGTAAGCGTCGGTGTGTGTGTTCGGCCCCCTCCACCAGAAAAGTCATTTTGGGCTATGCTCCGCAGATATCCATGAATCATGCGTGGCCAACGCTTGGACTGTTGCTTAAGTCTGTCACATGATGCTGCAATAGAATGCATAAGCTACACCTCAAGCGGCTGCAGTAAGACACCAATTGATTACGGTTGATTGATATACGCATCAGTGTTGGCCAGATTCACATCCAGTTTGTGCGACACTCGCAGATTATATCCCATATCTGTGTTATCGCCCCAGAGCATCAGCAAAACTCCACTCCTTCAAGTTTCGAACAGTCAAAATGATCAATTTGATCATATATCCAGAACTGAATAGGATATCTCTAGTAAACCAACTGCCATTGAAATAACGTAACGGCGGCTGTCGAAATATACCATAGATTTTATGATGGTGACGGTATTTTATAAGACATTCCAAGTTCAAAAATTGAAATGTTTTCAAAAATGCACTTTTCTGAATACGGAATCTGCTTTGTTTATCGAAGATCAACGAATTCTCTGCAGTGAAATCATCGA